TCAGATATCCAGATGCCAGATATCAGTATGCTTCAGTATCCGGAAGATTTTTCATCAGAACGAAATTTTTAAATGTTATTCTGTCTTGTTTAACTGGTGATTCAGATATCCGGATGCTTCATATATCCGGACAAATTGACTGGGAACCAAATCGTCCAGATAAGGGACCATGAGGGTCCACTGTAACCATAAAATGTTAAAAGTAGGTCACCATGACCTTATTTTTGGTCGACATTCTCCAAGAACCCAAGATGCATCAACTGACAAAGTTTGATGATTATAAGCCAATAAGTACTGGAGATACTGAAATATAGCCATAAAATGACGAAAAAAGGTCACAGTGACCTAATTTTTGGTCGTTACTCTCCAAAAAGCCAAGATGCATCAACTCACAAAGTTTGATGATTCTAAGCCAATGAAACCGGAGATACTTAAATATAGCCATAAAATGTCGAAAGTAGGTCACTGTGACCTAATTTTTGGTCGTCACTCTCTGAAAATCCAAGATGCATCAACTCACAAAGTTTTATGATTCTAAGCCAATAAATAATTAAGATACTTAAATATAGCCATAAAATGTCGAAAGTAGACTACATTTTGGTGAACATTTTACAGAGTCCCAAGATGCATCTCCTGACCAAGATTAATGATTTTAGATGTGAAGGTAATCAAAATATGCCTTTTAAACAATTTGAAAACATATGCCAGCAAAATTCTAAAAGTAGGTCACAGTGACCAGCTTTTTTAAAAATATGTTTTAAGGTCCCAAAATGCAGTAAATTACAAGATTTGATGATTATAACCCTTTCAGTGCCTGAAATAATGGGATTAAATGTTTTAAACATAGGTAATCAAAGATTACGAAGCTCACCTCGACGAATGTTATCAGTTTAAGTAATGCAAATCTCACATCCTATTTTCTTAATATTTAGTATTCATCCCAAAAACAATATTCTTGCAAGTTGTGTTTAACCCCTAACATGGCATATACACATTTCTAAGCCTGTAGCGTGAAAAATATGTATATGTATAGTGTAAACAAATATTCATAACTGTTAATACTGCATATATTAAGGTCTTCAGGTTAATTTGGATTGATCTGTTCCCAAAACTTTAACCAAGTCTCTTGTATGGAAAATATAGGTCAGATCCAGCATCCGAAGTGTCCATCCTTTAGATGCATCATCCATCCAAGTTTGGTTAAGCTAGGGCTTATAGTTACTTAAGAAAGAAAATGTAGGTCAGATCCAGCATCCGAAGCAAGTCTGGTAGTGTCCATCCCTAGATACATCATCCATGCAAGTTTAGTTTAGCTAGGGCTTATAGTTACTTAAGAAAGAAAATGTAGGTCAGATCCAGCATCCGAAGCAAGTCTGGTAGTGTCCATCCCTAGATACATCATCCATGCAAGTTTAGTTTAGCTAGGGCTTATAGATACTTGGGAATGTAAATATAGGTCAGATCCAGCATCCGAAGCTAGTCTGGTAATGTCCATCCCTAGATGCATCATCCATGCAAGTTTGGTCCAAATAGGGTTTATAGTTACTTGGGAATGAAAATGTAGGTCAGATCCAGCATCCGAAGCAAGTTTGGTAGTGTACATCCCTAGATGAATCATTCATGCAAGTTTGGTCTGGGTAGGGCTTATAATTCCTTGGGAATGGACCTGCTCCAAAAACCTTAACCTGCTCCAAAAACTTTAACTTGGTCACTCATCTGAAAAATGTAGTTCAGATCCAGCATCCGAAGCATTTCTTGTAGTGTACATCCCTAGATGCATCATCCATGCAAGTTTGGTTCAGGTAGGGCTTATAGTTACTTTGGAATGGACCTGTTCCTAAAACTTTAACCTGGGACGCCAACGCTAACGCCGACACCGACACTGACGCCGACGCCGACCCCGGGGGTATAGCATAAGCTCATCTCGACTTCGTCGAGGTGAGTTAAAAAGGATAAGTTATAAAGTTCAAAAAAGTAGGTCACAGTGACCTACTTTTACGTTGACATTGTTCAAGGACCCAAGATGCATCAACTGATTAAGTTTGATGATCAAAGGCCTTAAAGTGTCCAAAATATGCCTTCAAATCAATTTGAAAACAAATGCCCGCAAAATTAAAAAAGTAGGTCACCGTGACCTACTTTTGAGTTAACATGATGTGAAGTCCTAAGATGCATCAACATACAAGATTTTATGATCCTAGTCATTATAGTAAGCAAAAATAAACATTTTCATTAATTGTAAATTTAGGTCAACTTTAAAGTGACCTTGAGACCATGCCCTTTGCCCCAGGGTCATGCCTTGAACAATTTTTAATCTTCAACATATCCTGATCCTTGTATGTAAGTTTGGTGAAAATCTGAGTGGTGGTTCTTGAGAAGAAGATTTTTTGGCAACTAGTACTTTTGGTTTTGTTTTTCTGATTATCACCCCTTGTTATAGGGTCCCAACCCTTATTTTAGTATAAATGGTAGCCCTTGGGCTAAGGATATCCTGTGGCAAATTTGGTACTGATTGGACAAAGGGTTCTTGAGTTATGGCCCATATTCTAAAAAGTTAACGCACACCGCACAAATGGCCATAGCATTAGCTCTTTGAGCCTTTGGCTCAGAAGAGATAATAAGGTTAAATATGAACTATATTCCTTTTAGTCTGTTGTAATACGTTATATTTCCATTAGTAAACTCTTCAGAATTAGAGGCTTGTTTGCTCATTTGACTGGGACAGCATGGCATTGCGGATAATACAAAACATGTCACTATTAATCCAATCTTAAATGTTAAGTGCATTTATCGTTCTAACTAAAGAATAGAAGAACTAAAAGACATATGAAAGAAAGCGAAAACCCTAACTTTATCTTCGATTAATGAAGATAGGACATTTCCGAGGTAATGTGTATTGACTTTAAATGTACCATTACTATAAATAGATTAGATACCTACGATCACCAATAGATGTAAATTGATATCCCTGTCATCTCTACTCTTGATTTAAATAAAGTTCACCACAATAAAATGTTTCAAATGCATTTTGTTAGGATTTGTTCATTGACATTCAATGTGTTGTTTACATGTTTATGTAACTTTTGTCCCAGAAATCCCGCAAGATTTGTACTTTCTCAGACTTTTTCACAAAAGAGCACACTAAGAACTATAACTCTTCAATTGTGGAAATAGAATTGGATATCAACATAACAAGGCACAGCCATATCCACTCATAAATAGAACAAAATTGAATCTTTGTGGTTTATTCTTGTATTTAATGATATAATTGAATATTTTAGATCCTTTACATTTTTTTCAGGATCAGAATAAAAAATTTTGTGGTTGTCTATTTGTGTTTTAGACTGTGAATAGATTACTTAAAAACTTGCTAGAGAGGTTGTGGATGACAAGAGGCTAAAATCTACTCACTTGAAGATAAAAATTGATTATGATATTTGTTAAAATTAAGCTGCAAAATGACATGACAGTTTGTAAACATTGCATAGCTTGGAACAGTGACTGGGCCTTTCTGACGTAAGGGAGATAAGCAACGTAAGTCAAAGCTCATTTTCCTGATTGATTAATTTTGATCAACTGGGTTATTGCTATCTTGCATTAAAAAGTTAAATAACATTTTCAGTCTTATTTTATCAGCTCAGATAAAATCATTCCCGTATGTAACTCAATATGTTCAGGAATTTGTTTCTTATGACCTGCATTTGCCAAAAATTAAAGGAAGCAAACGAGCAGCTGTATGTTGTATTTTTTAGAGACACAATTTTACTCAAAAAATATTATTCCACGCATGGAAATTTATTTTCCAAGAGAATCTTTATTTCATCCTTATATACACTTCTACAACGTTAACTACAAAAATTTCAAAAAACGGCAATGACAATCTGTCGTCGTTTTCCTTTACCTGTAACTGGGCGGCCGGTAGGTTGATGTCTGCCACCATCTCCGTACACGGATGTTCCACCTGTAAACGTGGATTGAGCTCCAGGAAGTGGAACGTCTCTGTCTCCTCGTTATACAGATACTCCACCGTACCAGCACTGACGTACCTCACCATCTTAGCCAGGGTCACTGCAGCCTACAGAGACAAGAGGCCCATGGGCCTTATAGGTCACCTGAGCATTATGCAACAACTTTCCAGTAATTGAATTTGATTCATGTTTTAATCCAGATGCTATGGCATTCACAATTTTGAAATAGGCACCATTGGTCATCATAACAATACACTTAGCAGTTGCTTAGTTTGTTTACTTAATACCCATAGGCAGGGTAGAGGAACAAAAACTGCATTTCAAGTAATCAGTAATATTCAGCATGATCAGTAATGCCCCAATCACACATGAACCCCTGACCCTTAGGCCTAGATGCACACATTGCACAATTTTTGAAAAGACACCCTTGCTTTTCAAAAATATTTGATAAATACCAAGGAGCAGATTTCAAACAATTCATCCAGTTTCAGTATATCAGTACAGCCCCCCCCCCCCCTCCTTTATGGTACCCTTAACCCTGGGGCCTTGAAATTCACAATTCTGGAAGATTAGGACCCTTACTCATCATAACTACATAGGTAGTTCATCTGCTTAATAAAAAGGAGCAGAGAAGAAAACTTTCAAAGATTTAGTGTATTTTCATTGTATAATCAATAAAGCCCCACCTTATCACTAGAATCCCTGACCCTGGGGCCATAAAATTCACAATTTTGGAAGAGGCACTCTTGCTCATCATAACTATGCACTTATTTAGTTTATTTAATACCCAGACGCAGAGAAGAAGATTTTCAAAGAATTCATGTATTTTCACTATATAATCTAAATTGCCCCCACCCCTACTCCAGAACCCCTGACCCTGGGGCCATCGAATTCACAATTTTGGTAGAAGCACTTTTGCTCATCATAACAAAGCACTTAGTTAGTTTATTTAATACCCAGACGCAGAGAAGAAGATTTTCAAAGAATTCAAGTATTTTCACTATATAATCTATAGAGCCCCCCCCCCCCCCTTACACCAGAACCCCTGATCCTGGGGCCATAAAATTCATAATTTCGGTAGAGGCACTCTTGCTCATTATAACTATGCACTTATTTAGTTTATTTAATACCAAGGAGCAGAGAAGAAGATTTTCAAAGAATTCATGTATTTTCATTATATAATCTATAGAGCCCCCCGCCCCTTACACCAGAACCCCTGACCCTGGGGCCATAGAATTCAAAATTTTGGTAGAGACACTCTTGCTCATCATAACTATGCACTTATTTAGTTTATTTATTACCCAGGAGCAGAGAAGAAGATTTTCAAAGAATTCAAGTATTTTCACTATGTAATCTAAAGAGCCCCCCCCCCCTTACACCAGAACCCCTGATCCTGGGGCCATAAAATTCACAATTTTGGTAGAGGCACTCTTGCTCATCATAACTATGCACTTAGTTAGTTTATTTAATACCCAGGAGCAGAGAAGAAGATTTTCAAAGAATTTATGAAATTTCACTATATAATCTATAGAGCCCCACCCTAACACGAGAACCTCTGACCCTGGGGCCATAAAATTCACAATTTTGGTTGAGACACTCTTGCTCATCATAATTATGCACTTAGTTAGTTTATTTAATACCCAGGAGCAGAGAAGAAGATTTTCAAAGAATTTATGTATTTTCACTGTATAATCTATAGAGCCCCCCCCCTTACACCAGAACCCCTGACCCTGGGGCCATAAAATTCACAATTTTTGTAGAGGCACTCTTGCTCATCATAATTATGCACTTAGTTAGTTTATTTAATACCCAGGAGCAGAAAAGAAGATTTTCAAAGAATTTATGTATTTTCACTATATAATCTATAGAGCCCCACCCTAACACCAGAACCCCTGACCCTGGGGCCATAAAATTCACAATATTTGTAGAAACACTCTTGCTCATCATAACTATGCACTTAGTTAGTTTATTTAATACCTAGGAGCAGAGAAGAAAATTTTCAAAGAATTCATGAAATTTCACTATATACTTATTTAGCCCCACCCTAACACCAGAACCCCTGACCCTGGGGCCATGAATTTCACAATTTTGGTAGAGGACTCAATGCTGATTACAATCATGCAAACAGTTTGACTGCTTGATGACCAGGAGTAAAGAAGAAGATTTTTAAAGATTGCACTAATTTTAGTAGTTTTTGCCCCACCCCCCAGGCCCCAGGGGGGCAGGGCCCATGAAATTCACAATTTTTGTTCCCCTTCACCCATAGATGCTATATGCCAAATTTGGTTGAAATTGGTTCAGTGGTTTCAGAGAAGAAGCTGAAAATGTTCAAATGTTAACGCACGACGCACGACGAACGACGGACGACGAACGACGACGGACGAAAAGTGATAGCAATAGGTCACCTGAGTTTACTCAGGTGACCTAAAAATACAAGTAATTATACATTAAAAGCTATAATGTAAATTTCGTGACCATTCGCCTCGACAGAAAACAATTATACATTGATTTAGAGCTGTGATCATGTTAATTTCATGAGCAATGAATTTTTGTCTTGCTCAATGTCTCAGAGAACATTTTCAACCAATCCTTGCTATCTCAAACTTAATTGGATTGAGAAACAAGAGGCCTAGGGGCCACAGTGCTCACCTGAGCATATCTGCTAGGAAAAAGCACATATCAGATCAGAACTGAATGTTTTCTGAGGTTGGGGGGTGGGGTGAATTTTAACCCCCCAGGGATCAAGATTTTAGCAAACTAGAATCTACACTACCTGAGGATGATTCCATATAAATATCACTATTCATAGCTTTGAGGTACTTGAAAAGATTTTAAAAGGTTTCCCTATAGATTCCAATGAAAAAATTTGGTCGGCCATTTTGGCCCCACCCTACCCCCCGGGGTCATGATTTGAACAAATTTGAATCTACACTACCTGAGGATAATTTCAAATGAGTTTAAGGTAGGTCGCGGGTTTGCTTTTGTCATCAATTTTGGTACACAATTTCCACGATCCGAGCGGCTGTTTTGTGCACATTTGATTATGACGTCAGTTACGTCACAAAGACAACGTAACGTTGTTTCGCGCTTAATTCTCTGCAAATGACTTCAAGTCTGTACGAATCAAGTAGATAAATACAAAGTGCATGCTTTTGTACGTAAACCCTGTATATGTTTTATAATTAAATTTCAGTCTAAATTCATGAATTAATTATTATATGTAATGTCTAAAGACTTATTAAATACAATGCCAAATGAGAGAAATTATTTATATTGTGAGTGTAACTAAGCTGCTAATATTGATTGATTGATTGTATACTGTGTAACGTCCCTCTCCAGAATATTCCACTGATATGGAGATGTCACCATTGCCGGTGAAGGGCTGCTTTGGGCCTTTGCTAGGCACTCAGGGCCATTGAGCAGGGAGAGATCTTTTTCGTGCCACACCAGCTGTGGCACGGGGCCTCGGTTTATACGGTCTCATACGAAGGACCGCCCCATTTAGTTGCCTTTTACGACAAGCAAGGGGGTACTGAGGACCTATTCTAACCCGGGTCCCCACGGGATCTAAACTGCTAAGAGTTAATCAAAATAAATCAACGTAGAATTATGGAATGCAGAAAGAAAGTTGTCCTGAATAAAAATTGCTTAGTGGAAAACTTGAGGGGTTGTATGTGTGCACATTATCTAAAACTCAGGGGAACATGCGTATTGCATCATAACTGCCATAAAAGCCGGGGCGAAAATATGCGTATACTTTTCAGGATGGAACACATAATTATCAGTAAAAAAGAGTGAAATTTAAACACATGTTTTTCCTGTTTTTTTTAATTACTATCATCATTGTCAATATTGTCTGGTCGTTATGCATTTAAATCTCTTGTAATCGCCTTGTTTTGCTGGTTAATAAATTGTGAAATTCATTTAAAAATAAAATTATACAAACACCTGGACTGTAAGACATATAAGACACTGTAAACAATTTATAATTATCTTTTTCTATATACATGTATTAAAATTTTTAATAACAAAAACTCAAAGTGTAAAAGCTAAATGCAAGAGTTTTACATATCCCGTATTGACATTCATTCAGAAAAATCGAAAATTATTAAATGCATGATTGATATAGTGCAATATACTATAGCTTGTAACTAATATAGAAAGAACAAGTATACCCCCCCCCCCTCCCCTCGGCCGCTAATTTCCTCTGAATCGGGATGTTTTTTCTCACGGTTTTCGAATATACAATGTAGTGTCATGCCTGAAATCCTACTAACCATGAATTTCTTAAAAATACATGTACTAATATTTAATATTTTATTACTTGCGTTGTTGTCGCCGTATGTTAATTTTCAGGTTCGAAGATTCTTTATACCGTTCAATCTGACTTTGTGATCGGAATATGAATTTCACAATACTAGTGATAATAAGTTGCTGGTCATTCCAATGTGTCTCCACAATAAATGAAATGATATATTTAATTAAAATTAAATTTTGTATATATGTCATCTTTTAAATTTTCCAAATACCAAGATATTTATACTCGTACTATGAACGTGACTGCGTTCAACAAATGACGTTGTAGATGTTAATTACGCCATAAACGCAACATTTTAGTAGTATTAAAGAAAACTTTGAAATTATTAAATTAGCAAAAAATCTAGCGAGAAGACATATTGATTTTTTTATATTAATAGTTTTAATTTTACCTGATCTTCACATTTTGAAACTCCTGACTAATTCGTCTACGTCTTTAAAAAGTTATCCATTCTTTTTCAAAGAAACTATTTTCACAAAATTGGCTTAAAACGTCATTTTCCCATACAATTCAATAGTAAAACGTAAAAAAAAGTACCAACAACAATACCGCGCTTACAGTAATATAGTATTAAAACTATCTAGGCAAATTTAATGAAAATTGCAGATAATACGCTATGAATTCTAATGATCATTATATCAAATTTTCAGGATATGTTTTCTCGTAAGAATTTTTATGCAGTAAACCCGCGACCTACCTTAATCTTTCCTGTCTTAATGGTTCTTGAGAAGGAGATTTTTTAAAGATTTTCCCTATATATTCCTATGTAAAACTTTGATAGGCCATTTTGTCCCCATCCTAGCCCCGGAGGTCATGATTTTACCTGAGGATGATTCCACACGAGTTTCATCTTTCCTGGCCCAGTGGTTCTTGAGAAGAAGATTTTTTAAAAATGCCATTAATTTTTGTCTAATTCATAATAAAGGGCATGGCCCTTAATTTGAACAAACTTGAATCCCCTTCACCCAAGGATACTTTGCAGCAAGTTTGGTTGAAATTGGCCCAATGGTTCTTGAGAAGAAGATGAAAATGTGAAAAGTTTATGACAACGATGGCGACAAGTCCACAACAACACTGGCATTCAAGATATTGAATTTAAACTGTATTTTTAAAAGTCTTTTTTCTGCTGTGAGGTAGGATTCAGTATTTTACTTTGCACACAAACACAAAATGTGCAGTCTTGGTCTTGGAAAAGTTTTCTTTAAAAAATGTATTCGGAGTAAGTTGATAAACAGTTTTGTTTTGTTTTTTTTTTTTACTAATTTAAAAATTACCCCCAAGCTCTACCTACCTGTTCCATCTTTTCGAACACCTCGGGTTTGGCTATAGAGGCAGGCGCCTCCTCAATGATCTTCTGATGCCTCCTCTGGATGGAGCAGTCCCTCCCAAACAGGGAGATGGCGTTACCGTAGTTATCGGCCAGGATCTGGACCTCAAGGTGACGGGCGTGGGTCGCCAGCTTCATGATGAATATGGGGGATCCCGGAACCTCAGCCTGCACCTATATATAGAACACAGGATTTCTCTTTTAAATCAATAAATTAAGAACTTGCTGATAAAAGATTAGAATTGAAACTCAATTTTGTAAATTCTGTTGGAAACAAAATGTGTGTATTTCTGAATTTCTCTATAAGCAGAATTATTAAAACTAAGAAATCAATTCAATTTAGCATTACCATTGAGGGTTCTTAGATGCATGGCTAATATTTAATATCCATAGGCTAATAAATCATTCTTTCTAGGTGTTATCGCTCTCTCTCTTTACATTATAATACAACTAAAACTACCTCTCACTAAAAATATATTTTCACAATTTTGAGGGGAATAAACCCTATACATGTGCATCTCATTAATTTTGCACTTAGAAGGTATCTCTCCTTATCCTTGAACAAAATTTCCTTACCTCCCAATCTTCATGCCCTAATACCCTTCAAGACAAAATTTCTTGCAAATTTTTATGCCCTTCTACTCCTTACCTGTCTGAAGAGATTGGGGAAGTCGTCTGCGTTCTCTGCCTTCCTGATGCCCTTCCCTCCACCTCCCTCCGACGCTTTGATCATCACAGGAAACCCAATCTTATTGGCCGATTTCAGACTCTCATCAACATCCGCGACAAACCCCTTCCTGTAGAGGTCTTAGGGCACATTCACTGGCTTATTTATCTAATCTTAGAGTAGTTTGGGGTCAGGCCTGGAATAAAAATAAAAAGTTAAATTATCTTCATGGGATCCAGTTTTCATGGTTTAGGAGAGAAAAGACTGCATGGTTCTTGGAGATTTGTTTTTGTGATTGTCATTGAAGAGATTGACATTAACAAGATATTTCTTTAAGTTTTGTCATTTAGTGAAGGACATACATTTGTGACATTTAAATCTATTTATACCATGACAGCAATGAGAATAAACAACTCTACAGCATAATATCAAGTTTATTTTTAATTAAATCAACAGTGAACATTGATAAATTTTATAAAACACCTGATCCACTCCATGGCATGGTGGGGACCTTTGCTGTTTGGGCTACAATAGAGGATCCTGTTCATAAACAAGAGCAGATAACTTTACACCTTATGTGAAAAAAGCTACACCAAGATACTGTAAATCAACTTTTATTCGCGTGCAAAAAATTTTCGTGAAGTTCGCGAGAGCCTCGTCATCGCGAATATTTCTCGCCTCGAACCGGACGTTGTAGTGTTATTTGTCTATAGATAAAAAATCCAAAAAAGCTTGATCGCAAAAATTAATTGTCGCCAACCAATTTCTCACTGGTAAATTGTGAAATAAAGTCTTTGGTTGATAAAAAGAAGTATTTCTTTACAAAATATATTTTAAAATTATTTCTGCAAAATAAATAAAGTGTCTACAGACATTAATACCTGAGAGTGCGTGTATCTTAAAATTTATTAAAGCGGCACAGTGAGTCAAAATCATATCGTAATTTTAAGATACCTGTAGCATACAGAGAAACACTCATGAAATTATGAGTATTTAGCGAATATATGACAATTAAACTGCAAGAATTGACTGCACAATATAAGTGCCGGAAAAATAAAGGTTGCATCTACCGTTTCGGTTATGTCAAGGTCACGCAACTCTAATTTTAAGCTCAAACTTGTAAACAACATTCAACTGGAGCATGCAAAGGTGAGAAATATGTTCTAAAAACTTTTTTAAAAAGAGTAAATCAAATGTTTTGGTCTTCTTACATTCATTCGTGGATAACTGAGACCATGGTAACTATGGAAACTTATTCAACACTTTTCTGCGCACGCGTACAATAGGGAGGAAGAAGTACCAGTGTATTTTGCAATATTTTCATTCTGGGGCAGACAGAAATTATTTTTACTTTTATTTTTCCCCATTAAAATATCATTTTTAGGTTCCGAAATTCCGTAATTTTCTGAAACTGAATACTTTTAGGAATTGAACAAAATTTACAGAGGTCATGCGAAAATTCTACATTTGTCAATTTTCCCCTTTGTGCGTCACAGTGCCGCTTTAACTTATTTTTTTACCAATAAATATGATTCCATTTTTATGAAGTAGTTCTGGTAACTTGCGATTCTCTGAAGCATGGCCCCAGCCCGCCCAAACAGCCTGCAAAACAGAAAAGAGAGTATTTAGTTTACTGGCACATGTATTTACACAGCCAAATTATTATACAGAACAACAACAAAAATCCAAAATCTGAGTAAGCTAGTTAAATGTCTTAATTTAATACTGTATATTTAATGAGATCTAGATTCATCATGTGCAGCACTCCCGGATCAAGACTCATCTCTTTGGCATGATCTGCCAGTGGAACACCCTGCCACACACTGAATTCCACTTCAGCTTTAGAGCGTTGCATTAAGGGAAGGAAAACCCTTGTTTCAGGGTAAACCCCCGTTTTAGGGTTCGACTAGACTGGTTAATATTACATAACTTTAAGGTGATTTACATAATAATCCAATCCACAATTCATACTATGCCAAATATAGAAAATTAAGAAAAGGAAGGGTTTTAGGCTTACACAATAGATGACAGGTAAAAACACTACAGATTCATAACTACAGTATACTTTCAACAAATAAAATGATATAAAATTGTGTAATATACTGATAACATGACATAGTTGACAGCACTCAAAAATATACTATGTTTTACATTATTCCAAATTGACGCATAGACAAAACATATGACAATAAATTGCAAGGTTAAAAATTAACAATCTGAAAATAATTAAAACTTCCTATAATGCTTATCTAAATACTTACTTCACAGTGTGTCAAAAATACACCAAACATGAACTGTGCAAATAATTCTCGAGCACATGTAAACAACGGAAGAACTATAACAAAATTCAAAAATAATCCGGAAAAACAATTCCGCATTCACCACAGTGTCAGTATAATACGAGATGAAATCATGCATCAAAGAACACTTAGTTGATAAGATAGACAGTAGCAACAACCATTCACTGTACAGGACGATAACAACGGATTTAATTGGGTGAGGGACAGATGGACACCTTACTATCACATAAATTCATCTGGTCTTCAACCAGTAGAGCTAAAAATATAGAAACAAAACATTTAAACTCTTTAAACTCGAAACCCTTTTTTCAAAGAGGTGATGGGGTGGCAACAAAAGAGTGAAGTTGCCAATCAGAGCATCAAAATGAAAATTTCTATATCGAAAGATAAATGATATTCAGAAACACATTAGGGTTCAGCCCCCTTCTTCCACCACTGTATACTAAAAGACTTTAAATTTTAAAAGTTTTCAATTTCCTCTTTAGTATTTGTGTAGCTAAAATGAGATGGAAAACACAGATTGTCCAAACATATTTTGTCTATATTAGTACAGACATCAGAAATCTCTAACAATAGGTTTTAAGTGAAAGGAAAAAAACTAAACAGTTACTTCTTAGTACAAACATCAGAAAGATAATATCCTACATCTCTAATTAATCATCTGTTTTAAGTGAGGAAAAAACTAAATAGTTACACTGTACTTCCTACATTTTCTTCCTTAACCATGAAAGGAAAACAAAAAATATACAATTATTGATATCTTTTTATTAAATTTCACCACATTGCTAGGTGAAGCAATATTACTTTTACATTCAATTATATTAAATTTGTGTTCAATATATCTAATTACATTTACTGAAATTCAATGCACACAAATGGACAATTTATTTGACAGTCAATAAATTAATATTCATAATATATATACACAACTTTGTTTAAAAGTGAGCACTATATATGATATTCATCATAGGTAGAGTAATAATAAATTAGTACAAATTAGTACAAAAATAATTACAAACCCTGGTAATGTTTCACATATAATACTGAATTGAATTACAAAACGAATTCATAAACAATTCTAATAATTAAGTCATTATGAATGACAGATATGGATTTCATATAATGCAACTTTATGCAAATTTGATCCAAATTGCACCTAATGATTTCATATGATTTGTTAAATAGATAAGTTTATATACACTGTCACAGTGGATTCTAATTGTCTATTTTGGTCACGTGTCCATGTTGGCCAGAATTCTGGAGACCTCTGACCTTTGACTTGAGGTCATGTGTTGTGTGATGTGGACAATAGAATCCATGGCAACCTCTGGATTGTTTTGTATCAAACTGAAAACAGAAAAAAGTGTGTTGATTTTAAGTAAGATTAGAGCATTATTTTATCAATCAAAGGGAGACAATCTGTAAATCTTATGTCAAAAACTTGATATTTGAGCTAAATCTAATTTACCCTGAGGAGACGACAACTATCAGAATTTCTAGACTGTGCAACCAAGCAATAGATTACGGTAAATCAAACTGATATTTAAATATTAGAATGTAAAGCCTTTCAGTCAGACAGTCTGGTTCCTAATATTGTTAGCATCCTATTCTTCATCTCCACATGAAGAAATGAAATAATGCTATCAAACCCTAGGTGAGCCATCAGGTGATATATAATGATCAATTATGTAGGACATGCCCTCTCTGTAGACATCTGATGTTGTCTGATACCTACCTCCTGACTTGTTGTAGGACATGCTCCCTCTGTAGACATCTGATACCTACCTCCTGACTTGTTGTAAGACGTGCTCCCTCTGTAGACATCTGATGTTGTCTGATACGTACCTCCTGACTTGTTGTAGGACATGCTCCCTCTGTAGACATCTGATACCTACCTCCTGACTTGTTGTAGGACGTGCTCCCACTGGAGACATCTGATACCTACCTCCTGACTTGTTGTAGGACATGCTCCCTCTGTAGACATCTGATACCTACCTCCTGACTTGTTGTAGGACATGCTCCCTCTGTAGACATCTGATACCTACCTCCTGACTTGTTGTAGGACATGCTCCCTCTGTAGACATCTGATACCTACCTCCTGACTTGTTGTAGGACGTGCTCCCTCTGTAGACATCTGATGTTGTCTGATACCTACCTCCTGACTTGTTGTAGGACGTGCTCCCTCTGTAGACATCTGATACCTACCTCCTGACTTGTTGTAGGACGTGCTCCCTCTGTAGACATCTGATACCTACCTCCTGACTTGTTGTAGGACGTGCTCCCTCTGTAGACATCTGATGTTGTCTGATACCTACCTCCTGACTTGTTGTAGGACATGCTCCCTCTGTAGACATCTGATACCTACCTCCTGACTTGTTGTAGGACGTGCTCCCTCTGTAGACATCTGATGTTGTCTGATACCTACCTCCTGACTTGTTGTAGGACGTGCTCCCTCTGTAGACATCTGATACCTACCTCCTGACTTGTTGTAGGACGTGCTCCCTCTGTAGACATCTGATACCTACCTCCTGACTTGCTGTAGGACGTGCTCCCTCTGTAGACATCTGATGTTGTCTGATACCTACCTCCTGACTTGTTGTAGGACGTGCTCCCTCTGTAGACATCTGATACCTACCTCCTGACTTGTTGTAGGACATGCTCCCTCTGTAGACATCTGATACCTACCTCCTGACTTGTTGTAGGACGTGCTCCCTCTGTAGACATCTGATACCTACCTCCTGACTTGTTGTAGGACATGCTCTCTCTGTAGACATCTGATACCTACCTCCTGACTTGTTGTAGGACGTGCTCCCTCTGTAGACATCTGATGTTGTCTGATACCTACTTCCTGACTTGTGGTAGGACGTGCTCCCTCTGTAGACATCTGATACCTACCTCCTGACTTGTTGTAGGACGTGCTCCCTCTGTAGACATCTGATACCTACCTCCTGAATTGTTGTAGGACATGCTCCCTCTGTAGATATCTGATACCTACCTCCTGACTTGTTGTAGGACATGCTCCCTCTGTAGACATCTGATGTTGTCTAATACCTGCCTCCTGACTTGTTGTAGGATGTGCTCCCTCTGTAGACATCTGATGTTGTCTGATACCTACATCCTGACTTGTTGTAGGACATGCTCTCTCTGTAGACATCTGATACCTACCTCCTGACTTGTTGTAGGACATGCTCCCTCTGTAGACATCTTTTTTTGTCTGATACCTACGTCCTGACTCGTTGTAGGACGTGCTCCCTCTGTAGACATCTGATGTTGTCTGATACCTACCTCCTGACTTGTTGTAGGATATGCTCCCTCTGTAGACATCTGATACCTACCTCCTGACTTGTTGTAGGACGTGCTCCCTCTGTAGACATCTAATACCTACCTCCTGACTTGTTGTAGGACGTGCTCCCTCTGTAGACATCTGATGTTGTCTGATACCTACCTCCTGACTTGTTGTAGGATGTGCTCCCTCTGTAGACATCTGATTTTGTCTGATACCTACCTCCTGACTTGTTGTAGGACATGCTCCCTCTGTAGACATCTGATACCTACCTCCTGATTTGTTGTAGGACATGCTCCCTCTGTAGACATCTGATGTTGTCTGATACCTACCTCCTGACTTGTTGTAGGACGTGTTCCCTCTGTAGACATCTGATGTTGTCTGATACCTACCTCCTGACTTGTTGTAGGATGTGCTCCCTCTGTAGACATCTGATTTTGTCTGATACCTACCTCCTGACTTGTTGTAGGACATGCTCCCTCTGTAGACATCTGATACCTACCTCCTGACTTGTTGTAGGACGTGCTCCCTCTGTAGACATCTGATACCTACCTCCTGACTTGTTGTAGGACAAGCTCCCTCTGTAGACATCTGATACCTACCTCCTGACTTGTTGTAGGACATGCTCCCTCTGTAGACATCTGATACCTACCTCCTGACTTGTTGTAGGACGTGCTCCCTCTGTAGACATCTGATACCTACATCCTGACTTGTTGTAGGATGTGCTCCCTCTGTAGACATCTGATTTTGTCTGATACCTACCTCCTGACTTGTTGTAGGACGTGCTCGCTCTGTAGACATCTGATGTTGTCTGATACCTACCTCCTGACTTGTTGTAGGACGTGCTCTCTATGTAGACATCTGATGTTGTCTGATACCTACCTCCTGACTTGTTGTAGGATGTGCTCCCTCTGTAGACATGTCCTGATGTTGTCTGATACCTACCTCCTGACTTGTTGTAGGACGTGCTCCCTCTGTAGACATCTGATACCTACCTCCTGACTTGTTGTAGGACATGCTATCTCTGTAGACATCTGATGTTGTCTGATACCTACCTCCTGACTTGTTGTAGGACATGCTCCCTCTGTAGACATCTGATGTTGTCTGATACCTACCTCCTGACTTGTTGTAGGACGTGCTCCCTCTGTAGACATCTGATACCTACCTCCTGACTTGTTGTAGGACGTGCTCCCTCTGTAGATATCTGATACCTACCTCCTGACTTGTTGTAGGACGTGCTCCCTGTGTAGACATCTGATACCTAACCCCTGACTTGTTGTAGGACATGCTCCCTGTGTAGACATCTGATACCTACCTCCTGACTTGTTGTAGGACATGCTCCCTCTGTAGACATCTGATACCTACCTCCTGACTTGTTGTAGGACATGCTCCCTCTGTAGACATCTGATGTTGTCTGATACCTACCTCCTGACTTGTTGTAAGACATGCTCTCTCTGTAGATATCTGATGTTGTCTGATACCTACCTCCTGACTTGTTGTAAGACATGCTCTCTCTGTAGATATCTGATGTTGTCTGATACCTACCTCCTGACTTGTTGTAGGACGTGCTCCCTCTGTAGACATCTGATGTTGTCTGATACCTACCTCCTGACTTGTTGTAGGACGTGTCTAGACATCTGATGTTGTCTGATACCTACCTTCTTACTTGTTGTAGGACGTGCTCCCTCTGTAGATATCTGATGTAGTCTAATACCCAC